ACGGGACGGAGGCCTTTGCGTACAGCGTCGTTGTCAGGATCGAGGACTCCACGGGGGTCCTGGACGCTCAGCTGGTCGACCCGGTCGCCAGCGACCTCTTCGGGGTCACCCCGCGCGACCTGAGGAGGGACAAGGAGGCCAAGGACAAGGTGGCATCGAGGCGGGACGAGCTTTTGGGGTACTATGACGATTACGAGGAGGGCAAGGACAAGGACAAGGCGCAGTGGCTGGAGCTCTGCGTGTTCAGTTTTTTTCCGAACGAGGGTGGTGGGAGTTGGGCCAACTACCGGTTGTTCGACACGACGTGGAAAAAGGAGGAGGAGGAGGAGGAGGGGGTTAGGGCAGATTGATTAAGGATTGAAAGGATCGAAAGGAGAAAGGATTGAAAGGATTTAGGATTTAGGAGAAGAAGAAAAGGAAGAAGAAGGTTTTGGTTTGTTCAATACAAATACAAGACACCATTGATGATGATGATGATCATGATTTGATGATGTTTTTTCTTTTCATGGCACCCAAATAAATAAATAATTGTTGTGGGGTTAGCTTTTGGAGGCCGCCGGCCGCGTCCCCACCTCTTCCACCGCCCTATCGACCGCCGAGAGGATCATGTCCCAGAACTCGGGGACCCGCATGGAGTAGGCCACGGTGGCGTTCTTGGGCTTCTTCTGCAAGTTGTGCCTGTCGCAGATCGTCTGCCCGGCCGAGAGGGAGCTCCCCGTCTCCACGTCCACCCGAATCTTCTCGGTCTCAAAGAGGCCGGGGTCGATGACGTACGCCAAAGCGCACGGATCGTGGAGCGGAGGGTCCTCGAAGCCAAAGTAGGCCTTGTACGTGTCCTTGAAGAAGCACAGGAGCTCGCACAGGGTGTTCCTGAACTCGCACGCGCCGTCCTTCCTGATCCGCGCGATGACCTCCTCGGTGGCCAGGGCGGTATGCGTTACCTCCAGGGGGACCATCGTGACGCTGGCCCCGGACTCGAAGACCACGCGGGCGGCCTCCGGGTCGATCTGCATGTTGAACTCCGCCACCGGCCCAGTGTTGCCGAGGCCGTAGGCCCCTCCCATAAGGACGACGTCGATCCGGTCGGCGAGCTCCGGGTACACGAGGAGCAGGAGAGCCACGTTGGTCAGGGCTCCCGTGGCCACGAGGGCCACCCTCGACTCGGCCGACGCGATGTGGTCGTGCATCACGTTCACGCACTTTCCGCTTTGGTCCAGGTGGGCCTCGAGGCCAGCCCTGTCGTCCAGGGGGAAGAGGGGCCGGCCCTCGCGGTTGTCCAGCCCGGACTCGCCGTGAATCTCCGCGCAGTGGACCGCCGGCCGGACCAGCGGCTTGGACGAGCCCTTGACGACGACCAGATGACGTTGTTGCTGTTGTTGTTGCTGCTGCTGCTGCTGGGAGGAGAGCATGCCGTAGGCCCGGAGGCACGCCAGGGCGTTCAGGGTCACCTTGTCGACGCTTTGGTTGCCGTGCACCGTGGAGACCCCCAGGAGCTTCACGCGGTCAGGACTGTACCCGGCAAGCAGGATGGCCATCGCATCGTCGTGCCCGGGATCGCAGTCCAGCCAGACAAGCCGCTGCTGCTGCATAGTAGCGTGAGAGATGGATTGGATTGGATTGGATTGGGATCGGACTCGAACGATGTCTCGGAGCTCTTTCCCGTCCTCCAATCTCTAAAGAAAGAGGAGGAGATGGAGACGAAGACGAAGATGAAGATGAAGCCTAGCTGCTGAACTCCTCTCCCTCTCCCGTCGCTTGTCGCGCCTCTCTCGATCGATCGATCGATCGATGCCCGATGTCTCGGAGCTCTTTCCCGTCCTCCACAATCTTCCGCAGAGCGTTACGGATGCCAAGCGAGAGCTCTAAAGAAAGAGGAGGAGGTGACGCTTCCGATCGTAACGCTCTCCCCGCCGCCTCCGACCTCTCGCCCCCTCCGTCAATCGCCCAGGAGTTCGTCCCTCCGTCAGGTCGCCTGTCTCCTCCAGTTTGTGGCTGACAGCGCTCGCCAGAAGGAGAGAGAGAGAGAGGGAAGGAGAGAGAAGGAGAGGAAGAGGGAGCAAGCGGGAGTTGGAGGACAAGACAATCCGAAGCGTTACGTCTTCTTCTTTCGAAAGAGCCCTCGCTCGAAGGGATCGGCCCAGGAACGAGGCAGATCCGTCCATCCATCCAGCGAGGAGGAGGAGGAGGAGGAGGAGGAGGAGAGAGGTGAGACTTGTTGCTTGCCTGGCGAGCGTCTCGGAGGGAAGTGGAGCGAGTGAGGGTGCTGAGATTGGTCTTCGTCTCACGATCTTTCCATTGGTGGGTCGCAACCTTGCTGATCCTTCGAACGCGCGACGGTGATGAGACCTACGAGGCGTGGGATGCCTACGAGGCATGGGAGTGGTTGGAGGGCATCGAGAGGAGGCATGGGCAGTGGGCGTCAAAGGCCTCGTTCGTTGTCGTTGGTTGTGGCTCGATCCGGTTCAGCTGCTGTGGACACGGACGTGGTGATCGTGGGCGGAGGCATCTCGGGGTTGGCGTGCGCGGTGGAGCTGGAGAGGGAAGGGGTGGAGTACGCCCTGGTGGAGGCCCAGGACGAGGTGGGCGGGAGGGTGAGGACGGACTACGTGGATGGGTACACCTTGGACAGGGGGTTTCAGATCTTCCTGACGGCGTATCCCAAGGCGGTGGAGTTGCTGGACTTTGAGGAACTCAAGCTGCGGGAGTTTTACGCGGGGGCGAGCGTGCGGTACGGCGGGGAGTTTCACAGGGTGGCGGACCCCCTGAGGCACCCCGTGGACGGCGTGCTTTCCCTGGCGAACCCCATTGGGTCGGTCCGGGACAAGGTCCTCGTGGGCCTTTACCGCCTCCAGGCGTACCTCAAGCCCCTGGAGGCCATCTTCGCGGGGGAGGAGACCAGCATCGCGAGGCACTTGGAGGACGTGGGGTTCAGCGACCGGATCATCAAGACCTTCTTCAGGCCGTTCCTGGGCGGGATCTTCTTCGACAGGGAGCTCGGGACGACGTCCAGGCTCTTCGAGTTCGTGATGAAGATGCTCGCGACGGGTTCAAACTGCCTGCCGGAGGGGGGGATCGGCGAGGTGAGCCGGCAGCTCGCGGGGCGGCTCGGCGAGGGGAGGGTGCACCTGGGCAGGAGGGTGACGGAGGTCAGGAGGGGAGAGGGAGATGGAGGCTGCTTGGAGGTGGTGTGCGAGGGCGGGGACGTGCTCCGGGGCAAGAGGGTGGTCCTGGCCACGGAGGCCCCCGCGGCCAGGAGGATCAGGGTGATGGGGGAGGAGATGGCGACGAGGGTGACGCTGGAGGAGGGGGGCGTGGGGACGGTGTGCCTGTACTTTTGGACGGACCGGAGCCCGCCCCGGGGGTTCGGGGAGCCCATGCTGTACCTGAACGGCGGGGACGGGGGAGTGGTGAACAACTGCTGCTTCCCCTCGTGCGTGAGCCCCTCGTACGCCCCGGAGGGGAGGACCCTGGTCAGCGTGAGCCTCGTCGGAGACTGGGAGGAGGGCGACGAGGAGCTGGGGAGGAGGGTGAGGGGGGAGCTCGCCGAGTGGTTCGGGGAGGACTTTGTCGGGTCCTGGAGGCTGCTGCGGGGGTACCGGATCCCCTACGCCCAGCCGAGGCAGGGTGGACTGGGGGGGAGGAGGATGGACTTGGGGGGTGGGGGGGTGGTGGAGGTGGCCAAGGGGGAGGTGTGGGCGTGCGGGGACTACTTGGGGGGAGCGACGCTGGAGGGGGCGATGAGGTCGGGAGTAAGGGCCGCCAGAGAGATCAACAACGTTGTGTTGAAGGGATGATGGAAGGGAGAGTAAAAATGGGAAGAGTGAAAATGGGAAGAGTAAAAATGGGAAGAATAATGGAATGGATTTTCAATTCTTTTTTTGCCTTGGTTTTCGTGGAACAACCCCATCGTTCTTATCTTACCAGGCGCTCTCCGTCACGAGGAACCCGAGGTCGTGGCCGTTCTTCTTGGCCAGGCGGATGAGACCCTGCTTGGTCTTGGGCGGGGCGCCGACCTGCTTGCAGAACGAGCTGATGACCTGCGAGTGCAGGGCGATCGCCTTTCCCCTCAGCTTGTTCAGGTCCTTGAGGCCAACCAGGGCAATGGCGATGCGCACGGCCGGGGCGAAGACGCCGTCCTCGAACGAAAGGTTCTGGGCCAAGGTGCGCGGCTCGTTCGACTTGGACGCCCTGAGCGGAGCGACTCGCCGCCGAGTGGTGGAGGTGGAGGTGGAGGTGGTGGGAAAGGTGGATCGCCTTGGGATGGTGGTGGTGGTGGTGGACGACTTGAGGAGGAGGTGCATCTTCGTCATCGTCGTTGCTGTGATGTTATGATAGGATAGGATGGCTGGAAGAAAGAAGAAAGAAAAAGAAAGAAGAAGAAAGAAAAAGAAAGAAGAAGAAAGAAGAAGAAGGTTGTGTGTGCGTGCATGAGTTAGGAGCTGGGAGTTCGGCAGCTTGTGAGGGAGGGAAGTGTTTTTTTGGGGATGGAACTCTCTCTTACCTTGCGCAAATGCAAATGCTTTGGTTGCTGGTGCGGAGGAGCCAGAACGTCCTAGTAGACCAGTTGAATGAGAGAATGAGAGAGGGTGGGGGTCAGGTGATCCGCACAACAACAACGAAGAAGAAGAAGAAGAAGAAAACGAGGAGGACGAGGGTTCTCTGCCTTCGTAGAGGGTCTCCTTTGAACGATGGAAAGAGAAAAAGAGAGAGAGAGAGAGAGAGGAAGAGGATGAGAGGAAGAGAGGGAGACCCGTACCTCTTCGTCGTCCTCCTCGCGTGCGTCCCTTACCTCCTTCGTCGTCGTCCTCGTCGTCGTCGGTCGTCGTCGTCGTAGGAGATCTGATCTCGTCACTCGTGTTCTGTGAGCCACGAATTGTCACGAGTCGTTCCAGCGGTGCACAATGAGTGTACACTTCGATTACGTAAAATGATGAGTGTATATAGAAAAAAATGTGAAAAAATCTCATCACACAATCGCGAACAACGTGCGATTTCTACATATCCGTGTGGTATAGTGGTAGCACAGTTCCCTGCCAAGCTGAAGAAGAAAACGGAACGGAACGGAACAGACTCGGGTTCGATTCCCGACACGGATACAAAAACCCGAGGAGGCGGCGAAACAACAGCCGCCTCTCCTCTTGCTCCGCGAGAGAAGGGTTCGGTGAGATACGTTAATTATACAAGGACAATGAGATCATGAATCGTAACGGCTGAGGAGGACGAGATCGTTGATCGTAACGGCTGAGGAGGACGACGACGAGAAGACCGCGACCAGAGAGAAAGCGATGAGTTACCTCCTGGAATACTACGGCCGCTGGTTGCCGACGAAGAAGAGGAGACTGACGAATACTGGGACGTCATGTGAAGAAGGGGCTGGTGGCGCCACCCCGGCCGCGGTTCTCCAGGTGGGTGGCGCCCAAGGATTGTGGTGCCAGTGTTTCTGTCTTCACCCAATTGCAGGGCAGCGGGCAGCCGTGCGGCGCGGTGGCACTCGGAACAAGCCTGGACACCAACGCTTGCACAGTGGCCCTGGCGACCTCCGCGGGACCTCATAGGGAGCGGGAGATGGCCGCCATCGAGGAGAACGTGGATTCGACGACGCGTACGGGTCCTTGAGAAGGTCGATCACCTCCTCCAGCTCGTCGCGGAGGTCCAAGTACCTCCCTGTGTCCACTCTGGGAGATACTTGTGAAAATCCATATCCCAGGGTTGATCAGGACACCAGGATCAGCTCCAGATCCTGGAGGGCTACCCGCTCTGGGTCCCTTGTCTGGCCCCAATCGCTACAAGAACAACGAGGTACAACACCTCCCTCCTCCCTCCAGCAGGAGGATCGCCACTATATGCCAAGTCCCTCTAGTCCAGTCTCAGTCCACGCCCCCCCTGGCTCTGGCCAGAAACCTTGCCGCTACACATCTCTACGACGAACCTTTTGCTTGCCCCCGCTAACATTCCGTCACCAGAAACCTCGGTCATGACGATCTCGGTGCTTCTGCCTTGAGCAGCGCCATCGGTGGTATTGGTCGTGGAACTCGTCAAGTCAATGCACCGATGCATTGCATCTCGACGAGCCCGTCAGGCTAGGCGAATCCAGGAGTCTCCAAGACTTCTTCTTCTGCTGTGTACTACTCCAACACACAACAGCCCTCCCTCCATTGCCTCGCCTTGCCTCTGGTCTGCTGGTCATCTTTTGTCTTGCATCGCACTTCATCGTACTACCTCTCTACCTCCCAGTTCCCAGTCAAAATACCAGCAGCACAACAAACAAAACACAAGGTAAGACAACACACACACACACACACACACACACAGAGAGAGAGAGAGAGAGAGAGAGAGCAACAACAACAGCAACAACCTTCTCTCCCTCTCCCTCTCTCCCCCCCCCTCTCTCTCTCTTCCAAACACACACAAGCTCCAAGCTCCAAGCTCCTGAGAATCCTGTTGCATAATAGGAATGAATGCCCCATTCACAAGCAGGCAGCTGATAGCATATGTAACGCACGCACGCACTTCAGCAAGATACCTCCACGACCAACCAAGCCCCCTGACAACAACAACTTTCCTTTCCTTTCCATTCCTTTCCTCGTCACCATCAATACGATACATTGGAGTAGTATCAATCCAAACAGTACTAGTGTATATTGTTATTATGGACGCCCCAGGAGAGCCCGTTCCAGACCCTCGCCCTCAGACGGATTGGATGAAGACCGCCGGCATCACCTCCACCTCCTGCCTTGACGACGAGGACTACGAGGTCTACGAGGACGACGAGGACCCCTCCTCTTACTCCTCCAACCAGCCGGTGGACAACACCCTGTTCATGGAGGGTCTCCTGAAGAAGCGCGGGGACGTGACCAAGGCGTTCAGGGAGAGGTGGGTGGTGCTTCACTGGGACGAGGAACTCGGTTACATCTTGAGTTACTCCGAATGCGAGCAGAAGGAGGACGGGAGCGTGGGTCCCAAGGAGGGGGACGAGCCCAAGGTCCTTATCGTGAGGGGGGCCAACCTCAGGGCCAAGTCCAAGATTAAGGGCAACGCCAAGTACGCCATCGGGGATAGGGACCGCCAGAAGCTCTGCCTGTTCTTCCAAGAGGGCCCAGGGGGCAGGTCCGGGGACAAGGTTCACGTCTTCCTGTTCGAGACGGACGAGGAGCTCAAGGAGTGGACCGGGTACCTCAAGATGGCTGTGGAGAAGACCATCAAGTGGTCCGGCAACGCCGGTCCGATGAGAATGATGAAGAACGCCATGACCAGCATGACGGACACCATCATGGGCACCGCTTCCAAGACGTTCAGCAGGCAGATGAAGCAGCACCAGAGGAAGGAGCAGGCCGATATGTCCAAGTCCATCAAGAACTTCACGGACGGCCTCTTCGGCAAGTAAAGCGGCAAGAAGAACGAGAGCAACTGTTTTCCCGCAAAGTAACAAATCCCAGTGTGTTTATTTCACCTCCCGGCCGGTCCGATGAGATCATCGCCCCAAGCATTCGTCCTCCCACTCCACCACCACCCACACCCACACTGTATGTTCGTTCAGCAGGCAGATGAAGCAGCACCAGAGGAAGGAGCAGTCCGAGATGTCCAAGCCCATCAAGAACTTCACACGCGCGCACACACACACACACACCTGGCACCAGGCAGGCCGGTCATTGAGATAAAAATCAATCCATCTACTACACTCAATCAATCGTCTTTTATATTTTATTCCTCCTCCTCACTAACTCACTGACTCACTAACTGCTACCCCATCCTCCCTAAAACTTCCTTGGCCAGCTCCACCTCGTCCCTCCTTTCCTCCTCCCCCCCCCTCAGCTCCTCCTCCCCCTCCCTCACGATCCTCTCCACCTCCCCCCTCCACTCCCCCTCCCCCTTCCCCAGCACCGCCAGCAGCCCCAAGCACGCCTCCCTCACCTCCAAGTCCCCGCTGCCCAGCAAGCGCTTCACCGGGACCCTCCCGAGGTCCTCCGCACCTTGTCCTTGCCTCGCCACGTACTCGAGCAGCCTCAGCCCCTTCCTCAGCAGAACCACCTCCCCCTCCTCCTCCCCCAAGGCCACCGCCTGGGCGACGACGCCGACGCCACCGGTTTGCAGGAACTGGAGGAACCCCATCCTGTGGTGCTTGACCGCGGCCGAGATCACGCCGACCGCCTTGGCCCTCACCTTGGCGCCCACGGCCTTCCCACCGGCCACGATCTCCGTCGCAGCCTCCACGCCCCCCCGCCTGAGAAAGTCCTCCTGGCCCTCGGGGTTGTGCTGCAGACACGTCGAGGCCGCCGTGAGGGCGCCCGCCCTCAGCCTGTCGTCCTTGCCCCTGTCCCTCGCGATCCTCAGCAAGATCACCAGGCCCTCCATCTTGACGAACGTCTTGGCCAGGTCGATCTGGGACACGAGGTCCTCCACGTCCTCCAGGATGTCCACCTGGCGCTCCACGCTCACGCCCTGCACCTCCCCCTCCCCGCTCTGCGCCAGCACCAGCATGTCCTGCTTCAGACGCTCCCCCTCGTCCTCCACCTGGGACTCCATCGCCTCGTAGAACCAACGCCTCTCCTCCTCCGTGAACGTCCTCGGCTTGGACGTCCCGTCGTTGTGCTTCAGGGACCACTTGAGCAGACCTAAGAGTCAAGAGGCAGAGACAGAGACAGAGACAGAGTTTGGAGGGTGTCAGAGGAAACGAAACCCTTCTTGAACGAACGAACGAACCATAAACGTGTCTACTCCTTCTTCACCACTTACCGTTCCAGTCAGGACCACCTCCTCCTCCGCCGCCGCCGTTGTTCATCATCCTCTCTGTCTCGATTGCGCTGCACTCCTTCACTTCCCTCGCCAGGAATCAAGCAATCTCGTTCAGACGGCGGGTCAATCCTTCGCCGATGCCGTCAACCAAGGTACCAATGGAAAGATCTCGAGACGTACTTTCGTGTGGTGCCCTCGCCGCGCGCTTCCTCTCCCGCCCTCGTCGTCAAAACCCTCGCTGATTGCGTTCCACCCCTCCACCTTGGTCGCAGCGTTGTCTGGATGGATGCAGGCCTGATGGCGGGCGGGATGGAGGGGGTGAATGGTGGTGGGTGAGGGGAGGGAAGGCAACAGGGGGAGGGAGGGAGGGAGGGAGGGAGGGAGGCATTGTCTCTTGCCCTTTGCAATGAAATACCTCACTCGCTCACTTTTCTTGCCCTAGACAGAGAGGATGGATGGATGGATGGATGGATGGATGCAAGAATGACCTCTTCGACTGCGAGCCAACAGCCTGAGCCTGAGCGGAAGGCGGATCCTCCGGCCAAGGAGGAGAAGAAGGCGGAGAAGAAGGCCCAGAAGGGTGGAGCCCCCGCCGACGTGGCCTTTAACAAATCAATCAATCATTAAATCAATCAACCAATCAATCAACGTTTTTGTTTTTTTGTTTCTGTTGCTCTCCACTCACCCATTCACCCACTCACTCAAGTCCCTCCCCCTCCTAGCAATTTTTTTTTCATTTTCATTTTTTTCATTCCTATTCATTCATCATTCCATCTTGATCCCCAAGACGAAGCTAAAGGGCTCGAACTGGTACCCGTCGCCCTCGTAGAACTTGTTCTGGTACTCGACCCAGTGCAGCCTGAGCGCGTGCAAGAACGCGCTCAGGCTCTCCATGATCATCAGGACCCCAAAGGTCGCGAGGGCCCAGATGTAAAACCCGATGACGATGGCCACGGCGCTCCCCGTCTCCAAGGCCGCGACGAAGCACTTCTCGTAGAAGACGGCCGAGAGCTGCGAGTGGGCCAGCGAGAGGGCCCACAGCCTGAGGTAAGACGCGGTGTTCGAGACGGCCCCGAGGACGAACTCGATGGTGTGAATCATGTTGTGGACCATCTCCTCCCCAAAGTCGAACTCCTCCTCAGCGGACCCTCCCTCCGCGCCCCCGTTTTCCAGCCCGTCCGTCGTCCCGTCGTCCCCGCCCAGGATCTCGTACTCCTGGCCACCCTGCTTCCTGGCGTGCCTCTTCTTCAGGATGAAGGGCTTCGGGAAGAGCATCCAGGGCACGCAGCAGAAGGCCACAAAGACGAGGAACCCGGCCAGGCCGCCCAGGCCGTAGAGGGCATCGCTCTTCTCGCAGTTCTTC